CATGCTTGATGTGATGTTCCGAATCTTACTTAGTTGATCTCTTCTCTATGTGCATGTGGTTTGCACTAGTTGTAGCTTCTCATTGTCATGTTCGTGCTTGGTGTGATGTTCCGGTTGATCTCTTGTCTATGTGCATGTGCTTTCCACTAGTTGTAGCTTCTCATTGTCATGTTCATATTTGGTGTGATGTTCAGGTTGAATCTCTTCTCTATGTGCATATGTTTTCCATTAGTTCTTGCTTCTCATTGTCATGTCCATGCTTGATGTGATGTTCCGGCTCCTACTTAGTTGATCTTTTCTCCATGTGCATGTGCTTTTCGCTAGTCCTAGTTTCTCAAATGGGAAGTTCATGTGTGTTACAGTATTCGATTCATACTTAGTTGATTTGTTACTATGGGATGGGTGACCAACATTTGGATGCTACTACGGGTGAGGACTTGATTAGGATTAGGGATCTCTTCTCTGTCTCTCCTTCTCCCTCGTTCTTTCTTTCTTTCTCCGTCTCTCTGTTCTCTTCTCCCTCTCTCTCTCTCTCTCTCTCTCTCTCTCTCTCTCTCTCTCTCTCTCTATCTATCTATCTATCTATCTATCTATCTATCTATCTATCTATCTCTTTCTCACTCTTTCCCTCTATCTATCTTTCACTCTCTCTCTCTCTCTCTCCTCCCCCTCCACCACTCTTTCTCTCCTCGTTCTCTTTTGCTTCCCTCTCTGTCTTCCCCCCACTTGGCATACGACTAACCCTTCTCCCCTCACTTGGTACATTGCCAGGGTGTGAACGGTAAGAAGAGATCAGACCTCACTTGGTGGAGAAAGAGGGCAAGGGGAGGGTAGCCGGTCCCTTGCGCCACCAAGAAGGCAAAGGAAAGGAGGATTGAGAAAGTGGGAAGAAGAGGCGGAATCCGAGAAAAAGTATAAGTGAAAGCAAGGTCAGTTTGACTCAACCATTTCCCCGACTGCATGACTATGAGAAGAGAATGGGCTGATTGAGCAACAAGAGGGAACAAAAGCGCAACCAAAAAGTTTGAAAAGATAGGCATGTGGGAAGGGCTATGTGATGACCCCCAACGGGGGATTGTATGGATCTTCTTGCTTGTGTGGGATTGTGCAGGTGAGTGATGGCAAAAATAAAAGGCCTTGAGCGGGATAGGGCAGAGAGGAACTGGGCACCAAGAGGGAAATGGAAGAGGGACAAAGGGGCTACGGGACCCTTGGCATAGAGCCAACCCATGAAAATGAGTTTTGCGCTCGAGACTTGGAGTGTAAATGAGAGTGCAGTCGTACCAAGGAAAATGTGATGTTGTGTGTGCATGCATATAAGGGCCCCGAAAAGACTAAGGGGCCTACCTCAATAAGGTTGAAAGCAAATTGTGAGAACCGATGGATGCGTAGAGGCGAGGGGGAGGACGACCTCGCCGTACCCTGATGAGGCCTTATAGCCACAATGCTTAGGGAAATGGTGCGCGGCCTAAGGATGACGCTTAGCCTGCGCACAAGAGAAGAGAAGCACTAAAAGAGTCCTTGGACTGCCTGCGTATTGGAAGGAGCAATTGTATGAGAACCCAACGATGAATCAAAAAAATAAAAATCAGCGTTGCGGAATGACCAGCGAGACTACCACCCGGCGTGAGGGCTGAGCTACATCCCCAATGTCAAAGCTCTCTCGCGCGACGGCCCACCCCCATCCATCTCAAAGCACTAGGTGGGGGTGACCTTGGGACAAATGGCCCGCGCCCTGAGCATGAGCGTGGGTGGGCCGAGCCAACTGGGACCCGCAGTGGGGTCGACTAAGGCTCGAAAGTCTACCGGGGTTTGGCCCTACACCGGCCGATGGAAAATAAAGGCCCTACAGGCCATGTGTCGTTTCAGCCCAAAGCCTTGAAAACGAGGGCCATTTTCAAGCCCTCATAAAGTCGACCTGCCCTGAAACTCGGGCGCTAGACCAAGGTTTAGCACAGGCCATTTTTTGGCCTGTTTCAAGACAACCTTTGTTTGAATTTCAACGCAAGGGTCTGGCACGTTTCGGCATTGGCAAGAGCAGCCTCCTGAGCAGACCAACACTACATAGAACTGGCCTGCCCTGCAGGCTGCAGGTAGTTCATAGGGACTTCCCAGGCAGTTCACGTTAGCACTTCACGTGCAGGAGGCCGGAGGCAGTCTTCAGGATACGGCAGCAGCATGTGCAGGAGGCAGGAGGCAGTCTTCAGGATTCGGCAGCAGCACTCGGGATGAGCGCTGCGGTAGTAGTGGTAGTGTTTAGAGTTGCCTTCAGCGTTGGGCGCTATTAGGAGCTAGAGTAGCGTTGAGGAGAGAGAGAGGGTTGGCGGAGGCCAGGGAGACTTACCGGTGGCGCCATAGCTCCAGCTTCGTCTTCAATGTACCTGCAACTAGGCGCCACCTTCACAGGTTAGTACTGGACTGGGAGAGAGAGAGAGAGGGAGAGTTTTTCTTGTTCCTCTTCTAAGTCCACCATCTCTCCCTCACCCTCTTGCTACCTGACTTCTCAGTGTCTGCAAACTACAAGAGAGAGAGAGATTGGTGACTTTGGGACTTGACAACATTTGGGTTCAGACTCGACATTGGGATTGAGACATTGGACGAGGGATTATTTGGGACCTGTACCGAAGACTTGGTGTTGACGACATTCCCATCTTCCCCCTCTTCTTTGTCTAATGCCCCTCCTCTTCGTCTGTGTATGCTTGAAGACTGTCGCATTCCTCCTGTGTGAGCGCCAGGGCCCTTCACACCATGTGATGATGATGATGTATGTAGGACCTGCATTGCGACATTGATTGGGCTGGTCATTGATATTTTAGCCTTCTGCTGCGCTATCTTGTACTATGTGAGAGAGGTCGGTTCTTGTTCTGGTCTGTATATTATCGGTATGCGACATTGATTGATTGATTGATTGATTGATTGATTGATTGATTGATTGATTGATTATTAGTAAATCAAGTAGGACTTCGTCAAATCTCTACAAAAAAGAAATTCTCGTTTTCACAACTTCGGATATTAGCATTTCGTTTTCTGTTTTACTCTGGCATATTAGGTGAATTAGGGAGGTTGTCATATTCTCGGACTGGATCTATTATTTTTCTCCGAAAGTGGAACCTCCTGTCTACTTCGTGCAAAAAAAAAAAATTCAAAATCGCATTTTTGAAAGCCAAAACTTTGCGAAACTTTGCCTACATCTCGCTCATAGTACTCCTATGAAATGTCTCACTCATAGCAGATCGGCAGATATACCAAAAAAAAAAAAAAAAAAGGGGAGGGGTGATCCTCTTCTTTTATTTTTTATTCTTAATTTTATTCTGTTGATTAGGACCGGGAGGAAAGTACAGTTTGGTTAGTTACCTTCCTGCGTTGTCCCTCTCACCCAACCCTTTGCCAGCATTCCCGGTTTGGTAAGTGTCACGTCAGCAGTGCCACGTCAGCCGCAGTGCCATCTCAGCAGTGCCATGTCAGCAGTGCCATGTAAGCAGTGCCATGTCAGCACTGCCACGTCAGTAGCAATGCCTAGCAACAGTGCCACGTCAGCAGTACCACGACAGCAGCAGTACCAACGTCAGCAGTGCCCCGCCACCATGACGGTTCCAGCTTTGGGCATGCCATGCCAACTGGCCAACAAGTCCATTGCCGAGTACCGACAGTGGATCCAAGCTCAGCTCGCACTAATCGAGGCCGAGGAACAGCGGCAGGCAGAAGTCGTGGCTTCCCGCCTAGAGGCTGAAGCGGCGGCAGCAGCTGAAAAGCAGCGGCTTCAAGCCGAAGCTCACGCAGATGCCCAGGCCCGCCACAAGGAGGCCCAGGCTCTGTTGCAGCAGCACGAAGCCGCCAGCGTCGACAAGCTCAAGTTCTGGCATTTTGAGCCATCCGAGAGCCACGACGACGCAACACTGGAAGAGCAGCACAAGGAGTTCCTCTCCAAACTCTTGACCCGGTTGGTTTACACTTGTAACCACCTGCAGTCCGAGTTAGAGAAACAACACCAAGAACTGATGAATCTCCAACGGGCGGTGCGAAACCACAAGGATCTGCACGAGGGTGCTACACGGGCACTTGATTCCCGTGTACAGGACCTGGAGCAAGCAGCACCAAGACCAGACGCTGGCGAACCCAGCAGTGCAGCCTCAACCCGCCAATTGGAGAAATGAGTTGACCATGTAGTCACAATGCTTGGCGACATCAGCACATTCGCCGCACCCGCCACCATCAGCGAGCAGCTTGAAGCCTTGAAGAACGAGGTTCGAAAAGTGCACCAGCTGCCAGAGCACGATGGCAGCACCAGTCCGCAGCATTACAAAATGCCGATATTCCGGATCGAAAAGTTTGATGACCATACGCATCAAGACCCGGTCCCCTGGTGGGAGGGCTTTACGATAAAACTTCAAATTCGTCACGTCCCCGAGCACTCGTACATTGGGGCGCTGTTCCTCAACTCAAAGGGCGGATGGCAGATCTGGCTCAGCCACCTGGCAACCATCCACGGCGTCGAGGTCGCCGATCTACACAAGAAGATCTCTTGGGAAGATCTCAGGAGAAAATAGAAGAAGCGGTTCATCGTGGACGACGCCCCAACGCTCACCATCAACCGCCTCTTCAGCAGGACTCAAGGCAACACACCAACACCTGATTGGCTCACGGAGTGGCAAAAGATCATGGCAACACCCGATCTTGACTTGCCATTTCCGCATCTGCGTCGGGAGTTCTACAACCGTGTGCCACCTTGAGCCTCGCACTTGGTGATCGCGAGCAGTACACAACCTTCACCGAAATCATCTACAAGGCGCGGGAGATCATCAAGACCAACCGGACTGCTGCACACAAGAAGTCAGCGTGGCAGCCAGCCCACGTGGAGAAAGGAAAATTTGGTCCGCGTCTGCAACATGTCGCTGCAGTCCAACCGGACAACATTGTGGAAGACCCGGCCGCCACCCCAGCATCACGTGAGGGAGATCAGGTGGCCACTGTCCAGCCGCGAAGCAACAACAACTCCTATGGAAAAGGGAAGGCGAAAACTGGATCGTCGGCCGGAATTGGACAGCCAGTACTATGGGTCAAGTTCAACTTGACCGAGGCCGAATACAAGTGGCGCAGCCGGTATGGCTGTTGTTACTGGGCAACAGCACCAAGCACAAGACCTCCCAATGCTAGGATCACGGCAAGGAGGATGTTCGACCTCGAATCAGCTCAGGAAACTTAGCTGTGCAGGAGGTGAGGCGACTCCACCTCTCACTCCGCGAGATTCCGCCGCCTTGCTAGCGGCCTCCTACACATTTGGGGAGAATGCGGATGTCGCGAGCCCTCGGTTCACTTACGAGGATTACGCTGTCCACTTGGTCCCACCGTTGGACCAACCACTCCACGTGCAACAATCCACCACATGCACGGTTTCACCACCATCGGCAGCTTCGCCGCCAACTTTCGTCGGGGATTCGATGTCATGATCAAGACTCGAGAGACTCGACCCGTTGAAGTTCGCAGACTTCCAATGGATGCCCCTTCCCCCGACCGGTCGATTATCGAAACCGCACATGCACGGTTTCACCACCATCGACAACCAATTCGGCAGCTTCGCCGCCAACTTTCGCCGGGGATTCGATGTCATGGTCAAGACTTGAGAGACTCGACCTGTTGAAGTTCGTGGACTTCCAATGGATGCCCCTTCCCCCGATGGTCGATTATCGAAACCGCATCGCAACATGCTCATGACACAATTGCGGGATTACTTGCACACTGCAATACCATCTCCGTTGATGGACGCCAGAGTAAAGGTTGTTGACCTTCACAAGATCGACCGCGAGTTCAAGACACAACGGTACGACGACATCGACGCGCCATTGTTGTACATACGCATTTACATCGGAGAGGCGACCTCCAACGCTTTGATCGATTGCGGAGCTACTCACAACTATATCAGCCAAGACTTTATGGTATGCGTTGGCCTTGGGCCACGCGTTCGGAGGAAGTCGCAGCCCACGCAAGTCACGTTGGCCGACTGTCACACGCACAAGTCAATCGACCGGTGCATTGATTCCGTCCCCGTGTACTTCGCCCCGCATGCAAGCGAGATCGTGTCCTTCAACATTTTGGACACACAGTTCGACATGATTTTGGGCATGTCATGGCTGCGAAGCGAGGATCACCCAGTGAACTTCTATTGCCGCACCGTTCACGTTCGTGATCGGAACGAAGTACTAGTCCCATGCACGGTGCCTCCACCTCACCCTTCGATCAGCTGTCACGTGGTGTCCACCGCGAGCATTCGGGCTTCCATCACCCGAGACGACATCGAGGACATGTGTGTGTGTTTTCTCCACGCCCTCCCGCCCCATGACATCTCATCAACAGACACATCAAGGGATCCACGCATCACCGAGCTTCTCGACGCCTACGGCAACGTGTTTGAAGCATAGCACGGAGTAGTACCGGATCGGCCCATCCGCAACGAGATCATCCTCGAGGCCGGGGTCGTACCTCCGCGTAGTTGCATCTACCGCATGAGCGAGGAAGAGTTAAGTGTGCTACGGGCACAACTCGACGACCTTCTTGCGAAAGGTTGGATTCGGCCTAGCTCTTCGCCATACGGTGCTCCCGTTCTCTTCGTCCGGAAGAAGAACAACGACTTGCGGTTGTGCATCGATTATCGTAAGCTCAAAGCGCAAACCGTCAAGAACGTTGGCCCTCTCCCGCGCATCGACGACCTTCTCGAACGGCTGGGCTGCGCTAAGTTCTTCTCCAAGCTTGACCTCAAATCGGGATATCACCAACTTCAGATTCGGCAGGAAGACCGCTACAAAACCACGTTCAAGACGCGATATGGGCATTCCGAATGGCTGGTCATGCCATTTGGCCTTACGAATGCCCCGACCACGTTCCAAGCGGCTATGACGACGAAGTTCCTACACATGCTGGACAGATTCGTACTCATCTACCTCGACGATTTCTTGGTGTACAGTCGGAGTTTGGATGAGCATGTGGAGCATTTGCGCACCGTTTTGGACCGGCTACTACAAACCAAGTACAAAGCCAACCGCAACAAATGCGAATTCACGCGGCAAGAGCTCGAGTACTTGGGCCATTTTGTGATGCTGCAAAGCATCAGTCCGCTCGTGGACAAGATCGACGCCATCCGCGTATGGCCCGAGCCCACCAACACCATGGAAGTTCGCTCACTCATGGGGTTGGTGGGCTACTATCAACGCTTCATCACCAGGTACTCAAGGATTGCCGCACCATTGACTAGATTACAATCGCCAAAGGTGCCATTTGTATTCGATGACGACGTGCACCGATCATTCCAAGCACTCAAGACGGCCAAGCTCATGGCACCCGTCCTTAGCATCTACAACCCCACTTTGCCAACGAGAGTGACAACTGACGCTTCCGGCTATGGCATTGGGGCTCAACGACGTCCCCCTCCTCTTCGTTTGTGTATGCTTGGGGACTGGCGCATTCCTCCTGTGTGAGCGCCAGGCCCCTTCACACCATGTGATGATGATGATGTATGTAGGGCCTGCATTGCGACATTGATTGGGCTGACATTGATTGGGCTGACATTGATTAGCCCTCCGCTGCGCTAACTTGTATTATGTGAGAGAGGTCGGTTCTTGTTCTGGTATGCACCTTTATGGTATGCAACACCAAGAGTCAAAGTTTGCATGGACCCAGCCCAGGCCGCCGGTCAGACACACACACTTGTTTGTATGCAGGCACCAAGACAGTATTCGGACCAAGTGGAAGTCTGCAACTGTATGCGATCCAGGTGCAGTCAGACCCGATTTCAGACTTGCTTTCCGCATGCACACACAAGAACTGATGGCAAAACCAAACTCGTCAACTCAGAATCAACAACGAACTTGCACTTAAACTATGTTCAATACAACTGTACAACCTGCGGCTATGGCCGCTGAACACTGTCTCAACCACCAGCCTCACTCTCCCTCATGCACGCACGTACGAGGATCACCCTGAATGTCCACGCTATATAGACACACACATTGTCTATACTCCGTCTGTACTAGCACCTGGGCGACTATGACCGCGGTCGTCCTCCTCACTCTAGCTATGTCCGCTGGGGTCTTCCTCACTGGCCAGCTATGGCCACTGTCCTCCTCACTGCCCACTTCCTCACCGGGCACCTGCAGACATCCACGCACAAGATACCAAGGCAGCTCTTCCACATGGCTCACAGGTGAATGAATGAATGGATGGACGCTGCCTCTTCACTTATACCTCTCCGGAGGTACCCGGTCCTGCCTCCAAACCGCATGGCCTGGGCCAAACCGCGTGAGGGTCGGGTCCAAAGGCTTCCAATCGCTTGGGCCTTTGGGCCAAAACGCGTGGGCCTTTGGACCCAAACCGCGTGGTGCAGGCCCCAAAATGCGTATTCTGGAGACTTCTCCAGAACGTGTGGGCCTTCCATTTTCCCCACGTGCAGCCCCTACCCCTGGTATCTGCTGACTGGACTTGCCTACAGGGACCTACGGACTTCTAGAACCTACAGACCGACAGACAGACTTTAGGCCCACAGTAGACTTAGGTAGAGACTTCTAGAACAGACTCTTTTAGGCCTTCTGGTAACAGACTCAACTCCTAACCTACAGACCTAGGGATCAACTCTCACACAGATCGCTGGGCCTATGTACAGGGTGCAGGGTAGGCCTAGGGATCGAATCTCACTCAGCACACAGGGTCAATGTACAGGGTTCAGCACAGGTCTGGGAATTGAATCTCTGTGGCTCCAAATGTCGGGTTAACTGGGTGAAACCGTTTCACAGGCCCTCGGCTGAGAGTCCATCTGAGCCACCGTGGGTGGGAGACCTGAGGCCGGTCAACGTCATCAAAGACTACATAAGGCCCGGCCTCCAGGGAGTCAACATTCAGTCTTGCTATGCTGACTTGACACTGGCTAGATGCTGGCTGGACGCTGGCTGTACACTGGCACTGTCGACTGCGACGCGAGACTGCTGCTTGCTTGCTGGCGCCTTCCTTTCTTGGCGCCAGCCTCTGCTGGCGTGGCGCAAGCCACGCTGTCTTTGGCATTGCTGACGTAGCTTATGCCACCCTGCCTCTATTGCTGACGTGGCATCTGCCACACTGTCTTCATTGCTAAGTTGGACGCGACAAGGAGGGAGATCGGGATATGTCGATGGTTGAGAGAGAAAGGGGATACTTACCTGCTGTTGGCGTCGGTACTGTACGCTGCTGAACGTCTTCACGGGAGAACTGTGCCACGTGGCACTCTGATGTGATCAGGACCTGTCAGGCTCGTTATTGGACACTGTTTGCTGACGTGGAGGCGAGGGGGAAGCCCAGAGAAGGAGAGGGAAATGTTGGGCTACCATCTCTGTGGTCATTGATGGATACTATCTCTTCCACCCTCTAAATTGTCTATTCCCCCTCTCCTCTCTTCGTCCATTGGTTACAAGACATTGTATTACAGATCGCATTCACGATTATTTCGAGACATTATTCAGCGCTGAGTTTTCTTGTACTTCCACATTTGACGAGTATCTTTCACACAGGGTTCATTACAATTTGGTATCGGAGCTTACCTTCGTCGTCGTGATCTGCTGTCAGTCGCCAGGTGGCGTCCAGGTGAGTGGAAGGTGCCCCGTGCGATTGGGAAGAAACGTGTTTACAAACGTACGCGATTATCATCGCGGTCTAGACATTGACTACCACGCACGTGTATGCTTCATTGAAGATGATAACGTGGACCTGCTGAAGAGAAGACAGCAACATTGCTTACGTGGCGCTTTGTTGCTGACCTGGCAATCAGATACCGGCGAGAGCATCGTTGGCTGCAGGCTGACGTGGCGCTGGTGAGAGAGAGAGAGAGAGAGAGAGAGAGAGAGAG